GTTTAAGCCTACCCTGGGAGGAGAGCCGAGCCGGGTACACAGTGTTATCACAGACTTGCTGCGTGACACACCACGTGCTAGTAATCTCTCTGTGCCTCAGTTCCCCACCTATAAACTGCAGATAATTTATAGTTACCTGCCTTATGGAAGGACTGCAAGGCTGAATTCCTGAGTGTTTGTAAGTCACTGACAGACACTTGGATACAAGGCACTACACAACTTATGACTGCTCCTCCATACCAAAACCTGCCCTCTGATGTGGCTGCTACCAGTTCAAAACCCGGACCTACATCAATACAGGCACACTGTGCTGCTTTGACAGGAAAAAGCCAAAAATTAAAATTTATTCTGTAAGTTCCCAAGAGTGGACAAAGTGAACGAGTACCATATTGTCTCCCTTACCACCCCTCAGATGAGATGCGCACTGTTTCTGGAAGGCAGATTGCAGGGGGTGGAGAAAGGACTGTTCCAGCATCAGGACTGCTCACTGGCTGCTACAGGCAAAAACTAGTGTTACACCTTTCACAGTCACTGCCAAATTGGCAGCAGCTTTTGGCTGCTCAGCCAAAAGCTACTGCTAATTCAGCAGTGGCTGTGTGAGGGTTGACACTGGACTCTGCCCCTGCTATCTGCTGGCCCAGCGAGAAGTAGCAGCCGTTACAGTACTGCTTCTCCATGCTTCCATTCCAGCAAAGAAATGTATGTTTCCCATTTAAGCAATGTTTTAGAGGGCCAATGTTTTGGGAAAAGGTGTCTGTGGTACACAAGTAAATACAGGTGTTTGAAACAATCAGTTCAAAAGAAAGAACCATAATTAACATTACAACGGTTCTTTCTTCCCCAAGCATAGCTAGCATGGACTACCACCCCAACTAATTTACACACCACAGTACCAAAGACCTGGCTTCGAAGCTGCAGGACTGCTCTCATGGGTGCAATGCTGTGTAATGGCAAGTAGCAATGCCACTCACTGCCGTGACAGAATACCATGAGATATCTTCTGCTCACGGTATTATGGTATCTCAGACCAACGGAAGGTCCTCCAGCACCCACTGATACTGCGATCTCCAAGTTCATGGTAAGAGATCATGCAAGGTCAACCCAACTGGACAACCCATAGTCAGGCACCAACTGAACCCTAATATTATTTATACACGCTACAAAAAAATCCCTGCCTCTTAAGGAATGAGACTTTTGCCGAGTGAACAACAAAGCACTCATAACACCTAGACAAGGGAGCGTGGTTGCACTGGCAATGGGTGGGTGGGACTTGGAGAAAAGAAAGAGCAATTCTAATTAGGAAACTTTCATCCTTAAAAGCTTCAACTTTGTAGGGAAGGTACTAGACAGCCCCACAGGAGACCTGGGAGCCGTTCTTGGTTCTGACACATTTCTTGTGCGACCTCTGTCAGACACTTAATCTATTATTGCCTTGGTTGTACTCTTACAAGATAGAAATGCTGATATGTCCTTTCCCCAACCCTCTGCCTGGCTACTTACAGTGTAAATGTTTTACTACAGCACACCTACATATACAATTTTCAGTATACCTAGGTACAGTGCCTTGCACACTAAGAGCTCATTCTTGTTTCTGTTTTCTAGGTGCTACTATAACACAAAAATGGTGATCTTGGAAAGTGGATAAGGAAAAGCACAGGTCCCACTGAAACTTTCCATAGGACTTGGGTTCCTCACTCCCAATAGGCACTTTTGTGGGGAAGGAAGGGGGAGGGGGGAAATCCTACCCTGAATAAAGAGTAGCCAAGAGGGGGGCTAAAGCTGCCCATTCAACAGAGACTAACAGTACATAAGTGATGAGAATTCTGTGGACTTACAGACTATCTCCCAACCAAGGCTCTTGGTGCGTCGTACAGATCCCAGGCAACTGACCACCCTGTGGTGAATATTTCACAGACGAATAATGGCTTTTTCAACCGAAAACATTCCAGCACCACTAAAAATGCAACCACCTAAGACAGACAGCGACAGCATGGCACACTGCAAAATGCTTTGGAGGAAGAAAGGGAGGGTAGGATTTTAGTTGCCTCAGATAAACTCTGCCACTTGCACGTGCCACTAGGTCTTTGCTGGTCAAGCAGAACTAAAAGAACCTCAGCTTTTTAAGATTTCCACCCTAGCAGCCTGAACAGCCTTGTGTGCCACTTGCCAACCAAGTCACCTCTGCTGGCACCTGTGCCCACAGCATGCCAGGCAACGAGCTATTCTAAGCCGGTGGCACAGACCACCGAGCTACTGCTTCCAGTTTGGTGAAATGCTATGGTGTTCTGAAGGACAGCGGAGTCACGGGACATGCCCAGCTTCAAACCATGAGTCAACGAGGCAGGGATTTATCTTGGACGCCTTAACGAAAAGGCTGTGCTCTAACCACTAAACAACACTGCCTCCCAAACTCCTGCTGTCTACTACTGCTTTCACTCAAACAAGCCAAATGCGACCTGCCAGTGCTGTGACCAAGCCCTACCTGACATCTAAAGCAAGCGAGATGTATCAGTGGCTCCCGTGATAGCGCATCACTGCTAGTGGCCGAAACCTGACACGAC